GAGGGGAGTAGAGGGATGGTGGGGGAAGGGAGAGGGGAGGGGAGTAGAGGGATGGTGGGGGAAGGGAGAGGGGAGGGGGAAGAGGGAGGATGAGAGGGCAGAGGGGAATTATGGGACTCCATGTTGCCCTACATGGAGCTCTCGCTCACTTGCAAGAACGTCGTATGTGCATTATTGGTGGTGGTCATTGGAGGATAGGGTCGTTCGGTTCAGTTTGGTAATTGGGAGGGAAGGGAGGAAGGGAGAAGGCGAGAATGCTGTTCGTACATTATCAATCCCACTCCCCCCCCCCTTCCTTCCTTTTGCCACTCCCCATACCCCTTCCCTCCTCCCCTCCCCTTCCCCTCAACCTCCTCCTCCTCTCCCCTTCCTCTTAACCTCCTCCTCCCCTCCCCTTCCTCTTAACCTCCTCCTCCCCTCCCCTTCCCCTTAACCTCCTCCTCCCCTGCTCCTCCCATGCTCCTCCTTTCCTCTTCCCCTCCTCCACACTTATTATTCCCCCCCCCTCCACAACCCTTCTCCTTATACTTTCTTTTTACCTCCCTCATACCTCCCTTATACCTCCCTCATACCTCCCTCATACCTCCCTTATACCTCTCTTATACCTCCCTTATGCCTGTGTTATTCCTCCCTTATGCTTCCTGTGTACCCTCCTTATACCTCCCTTATACCTCCCCTTAAACCTCCCTTGTGCCTCCCTTATACCTCCCTTAAACCTCCCCTTAAACCTCCCTTGTGCCTCCCTTATACTTCCCTTAAACCTCACCTTATACGTCCTTTATACGTCCTTTATACCTCCCTTATACCTCCCCTTATACCTCCCTTATACCTCCCTTATACCTCTTTTATACCTCCCCCATACTCCCCTTATACCTCCCTTATACCCCCTAGTACCTCCCCTAGTACCTCCCTTATACCTCCCTTATACCTCCCTTATACCTCACCTTATACCTCCCTTATACCTCCTCAGACCTCCAGCACCTACTCCCTCCTCACCTCCGCTGCTCTGGGCACAGTCCTACAGCAGAAACAGACCAGCAAAGTTCATATCCCAGTCCTTGTAACGGCTTTCGGAAATGGAACCGAACCCCGGTCAACTGTGGCAGACCCCAGCTACGGCTCAGTGGTATGTGTGTTCCCATTGGACAAACTGGTGAGCTCAGAGTTCAGCTTGGCGGAGCAATTTTGTGACAGCGGCCCTGGGCTGATCAAGGGCGCTGATTGGATAGAAGGGGTGGAGACGAACTGCCAGAAGATCGAATCGGAATCGGAATCGGTGAGTGATAACCCGGTCTCTCAGTTCGTGCTCGCTCTTGCCAACACACAACACACTACACGATGTCACAGTGTCAACACACAACACACTACACACTACACGATGGAACAGTGTCAACACACAACATGCAATACACTACACACTACACTATGGAACAGTGTCAACACACAACACACTACACACTACACACTACATGATGTCACAGTGTCAACACACTACTCACTACGCACTACATGATGACACAGTATCAACACACAACACACTACAGACAATACACAACACACTACACGATGACACAGTATCAACACACAACACACTACAGACAATACACAACACACTACACGATGACACAGTATCAACACACAACACACTACAGACAATACACAACAC